CCTTTTCCCCTCTCACTCCCCGTAGAGGGCAGAGGGGGATCGCCTCCCACCCTGGAGTCTACGATCTCGGCCCGATTTTATCTTCCCCGGTTCGCACTCACGTTAGAAGCCTTTCTCAGTGGATTCTGCATCTTTTTTCTCCCAATCTCTCAGGTTTTGTAAGGTTTCCAATGGCTTCAGGTCTTTTCCGTGTGAGGTATGGGCGCGAGTGCAAGTACGGAATCCTTGCTTCTCCGCCATCTTGCCCCCTCCAATGCTGGCTTTATAGAATGAGTCTGGAAGCCGTCCTTCCATTTCTATTTTTTGGAAGAGGTTGAGAAGAATAGGTATCAACTCTGCTTTAAATGCCTGGTAGAATTCCCCTGGGAAGCCATCTGGCCTAGGACTCTTTTTTTGTTGGGAGTTTTTTAATAATTGATTCAATTTCTTCACTAGTTATGGGTCTGTTTAAAATTTCTATTTCTTCTTGTTTGAGTTTTGGTAATGTGTGCGTGTCTAGGAATTTGTCCATTACTTCCAAATTGTCAAGTTTGTTGCCATATAATTTTTCATAGGATTCTTTAAAAATTGTTTGTATTTTTATGATTGAGATCTGTCCTTTTTCATTTGTGATTTTACCTACTTGGGTTCTGCCTCTTTTTGAGATGTCTGGCTAGGGAGTAATCAATTTTGTTTATTCCTTTAAGAAATTAGCTCTTGGATTCATTAATCTGTTTTTTAAATTCTATATTCTATGTATTTTTATTTTATATTATTTATTTCTGCTCTAATCTTTATTACTTCCCTTCCTCTGCTGGCTTTGGGGTTTCTTTGCTGCTCTGCTTCTAGTTCCTTTAGGTGTGCTGTTAGATTTTGTATGTGGGATTTTCTTGTTTATTGAGATAGGCCTGGATTGCAATGTATTTTCCTCTTAGGACTGCCTTTGCTACATCCCAAAGGGTTTGGACTGTTGTTTTCATTTTCATTTGCTTCCATATATTTTTAAATTTCTTCTTTTACTGTCTGGTTGACGCATTATTCTTCAGTAGGATGTTCTTTAACCTCTATGCATTTGGAAGTTTTTCTTGTGGTTGATGTCAAGCTTCATAGCATTGTGATCTGAAAATATGCATGGCATGATCTCAGTTCTTTTAAATTTATTGAAGGTTGTTTCGTTATGTGATCTATCTTGGAGAATGTTCCATGTGCACTTGAGAAGAATGTGTATTCTGCTGCTTTTGGATGAAAAGTTTTGAATATATCTGCCAAGTCCATATGGTCCAATATAACATTTAGGGCCATTGTTTCTTTATTGATTTTATGCCTAGATAATCTGTCTATTGCTGTAAGTGGAGTATTAAAGTCACCTGTACTTACTGTATTCTTATCAATAAGATTACTTATATTTGTGATTAATTCATTTGTATATTTGGGTGCACTCAAATTGGGCGTGTAAACATTTGTAACTGTTAGCTCCTCTTGATGAGCAGACTGCATAATTATGATATAATGCCCTTCTTCATCTCTTGTTAATTTAGAATCTAATTTGTATGTTATAAGTATAACTATTCCAGCTTTCCTTTGACTTCTAGTAGCACGATAGATGTTTCTCCATCCCCTCACTTTCAATCTGAAGGTGTCCTCAGATCTAAAATGAGTCTCTTGTAGATAGCATATAGATGGACCTTGGGTTTTTTTTTTTTTTTTTTATCCATTCTGATACCCTGTGTCTTTCGATTGGAGAATTTAGTTCATCTGCATTTAGCTTTATTATTGAAAGATATGGATTTAGAGTCATTGTGTTTTCTGTAGGCTGCATGCTTGTGGTGATGTCTCTGGTCCTTGTAGTCTTTGCAGAAATCCACTCACAGAGTCCCCCTTAGGATCTCTTGCAGAGCTGGTTTAGTGGTCATGAACTCCTTCATTTTTTGTTTGTCTGGGAAAGATTTTTTTCTCCTATTTCGAATGACAGCCTTGCTGGGTAAAGGATTCTTGGGTGCATATTTTTCCTATTCAGCACATTGAATATTTCCTGCCACTCCCTCGGGCTTGCCAAGTTTCAGTGGACAGATCTGCTACTACACTTATGTGTCTACCCTTGTAAGTTAAGTCCCGTTTATCCCTGGCTGCTTTCAGAATTCTCTCTTTATCTTTGTAATTTGCCAGTTTCACTATCATATGTTGTGCAGAAGATTGATTCTTATGTCTGAAGGGAGTTGGATTTATTTTTTAAGATTTTTCCCCTGTTATCTAAATAATTGGTTTCTGTTGCAATCCTTCAATTTATTTTGCTCTGCTCTCCTTTTCTAACTTTTCAGTTGGATCTTTAAAGTTTATTTATTTATTTATTTTGAGAGAGAGAGTGAGTACTAGAGGAACATGGTGGGGGGGGGGGGAGAGAATCCCAAGCAGGCTCTGCACTGTCAGCACAGAACCTGACATGGGGCTGGAGCTCAAGAATTGTGAGATTATGACCTGAGCTGAAACCAAGAGCTGGAAGCTTAACCGACTGAGTCATTAAGGTGCCCCTCAGTTGGATCATTAATTAATGAGATTTCTCTATGTTCCATTTACATGTTTATGGCTAAGAATTCTCTGTGCACATGGCTGTCATTCCCATACTTGCTCACATGTAGTGCTTTGATGATCTTTGATTATTCCAGATATTCTCAAGTATTTACATTTACCCCTTGAACCTCTCATTACCTAAGAGAGAATTAAAACATTCCAAGTGGAGAACTTTTCTGTTTCTGAACGTGTCATTAATACTTAGTTTTATTCAATGACATTCAGAGAATATTGCTTTAACTGTGTTGTTATAAGTGGTGTCAGAGGTTGACTTCCAAGAGAATCATACTCTGAGATACAGGATGGTATGCAGGAAACTTGTATGTAGCGATCTTGGGAATAACACCTGTGAGGGAGTGACACCTGTGAGTGGCAGAAGTTGCGTTGTGATGGACAGACAACTAAGGAACAACAGTGGCCCTTCAGAGTTGCCCTGAGTTGGGCTGAGGGGTAAGGTTTTTAAACCCTCTCAGGAGACCAGTCATAGGATGCACCCGGCCCCTAGTGAGGGGTCATGACCCTAGACGCAGCTCTTCTTTCCACCTGAGAGCAATTTCTGGAGGGGGTTGAGGGCTACCAGCCAGCACACTACCAGCAACTGGGAGAATTAGTCTGTTAGTACAGAAAGGGGGTAAAGGAGGCATAGCCTAGTGTTCAGTACAGGGGGAACTCTGAGATATTCTCTGTCTCAATCTTCTTTGTACTTAGGGCAAGTGCAGATAGGTTTGATGAGTCAGATACAGCCTCCCTGCAAGTGAATCAAAGTTAGTGATACACAATCCAGAGGCAGTAGCAGAAATGTCCAGTTTTGAGGTCAGTAGCAGAGGAGGCCAGTGTCTGTGGCCAGTGCCTGTGGTGGGCAGCATCAGTGGTCAGGCTGAATATCTGATGTTTAATGACAGTGATGTTGGTCAACTTATAGGATGGTTATGCATGTTAGTTTGGTTGTGGTCTTGTTGGGAGCCTCCGAGTCTGGTTCTCCAGGCTTTTTAGTAATTTTGTGAGCTACCCAATTGTCTTTTATTAAATTCTATTTCTGCTTAATGAAGCAGAATTGATTTGTATTTCTTTTCAGCCAAGATATCTGATGCATATAATGATTTTTCAAGAGATAGAGATTTGGGATTTGATTGGTCCATTATTACCATTGCTTCTCTCACCCACCCAATGTTACTTGCATTGGTCCTTATCAGCTCCAGCAAAATTTTCTGATCTCTATCTCATAGGAGAAAAGTAAAATCAAGGGTAACTTATAGAAGGTCTTCTCATCATAAACAAAATATTTATAGCAAAGTTTAAGAAAAACTCTTTTTATCCTTATTTCTGCCTGTCAATTATTACATATATAAAAGTGATTGAGCATTTTATTTACTTTTCTACTAACTTTGAAGAGATGTTTTGGATAGTATGACTTAATATATGGGACATATGTCATATGGTCTCTGGGCGACACCATGGACACAGAAAACGATCTGTTACATAAATTATGAGTTCCAAATCAAAGATCTCAAAGGCATATGCTATGAATTGCTAGTGTGGTCACTTCTCCCACAGACAACTCTAAATAATAGTACAGAGTTTTAAGTTTAAAAATTGTGATCAGTACTCTTCCAGGCAATACTCTGTAGATCATCATGAAGATTTCTATAGATTTACACAAGGATGATATAAATGCTGCTTTAAACACAAGGGATAAAAACAGGTTATAGAGAATTCGTATGATACAGTCATAAAATATGACTATAAAAATATTAGAGTAAGAAATAACAACTCATCCCTCATTCCCTGTAATCGCTCTTATGGACCCTTCATCCAGATTAATTTATTCAATACATTTACTCACATACACCATGCTCCTTCCTACCTACAAGCCTTCCTCATGGATTTGGCATATTCTCATTCTTTGTATGTAAAAATCACCTATGTCTAGGACCCAGATCATGTGTGGCTTTTTTTTTCCTTGAAGTTTACCTGACCTCTTATAGCCTCATCACTATCTTTTGTCTTTAACTTCTCATTGCAGTTATGATTTGAAACGTTTATTACATCGTAATTTTATTCTCTACTGTTTTTCATGCACAACAGTGGTTGTGGTTATGTGGGTACATCCCTTCTATGTACTCCAAGAAGGCAGCCCTGGAGGGAGGTTCTCTATTCCCAACTCCCCATGTACGTTTCCGTGTTGATCTGAGCCATCCGGGAGTTCTTATCGATGCATTTGAATGTTGATTTCATATTTTCACTGTGGTTTTCAGGGCCTTTATCGTCTGCATGTTTGCTAACAACAGTAATACCTTTGGGAGCTCAAATAGATAAGGTCTGTGATTAGGTAACAAATTTAGGTCGTTGCCAAGTTTAATTAGATATTTGATGACAGCTTTGTAACTGTGACTGGAATGACAATGATCCAATGAGGACTTGCCTCCTGTTGAATGTCTTTCATTCAGTACAAGTTACTGGGAGAAGGTTTTGGTCTGGCTCACAACCTTCTTTAACGCTCCCTTCAGCTCACTGTTCCTTAGACTGTATATGAAGGGATTCAATATAGGGACTATGACCATGAAGACCACTGATGCAGCCGAGTCTTTTTCAGTTGAATGGTTAGATGAGGGACTCATATAGACCCCTGTGATTGCTCCATAGAAAAGAACGACCAAGGCAAGATGAGATCCACAGGTGGAGAAAGCTTTGAGTTTTCCTTGGGCAGAAGGGATTTTCATCACAGCAGAGATGATGAGGCTGTAGGATGCCAGGATACACCCCGAGGGCACCACAAAGATCAGCCCTACCGCAGCCAGAACTATGAACTGATTGAGACTGGTGTCAGAACAGGAGAGGGGGAGGAGAGAATTGATATCACAGAAGAAATGGTGGATGATGTTGTTAGAGCAGAAGTGCAGACGGGCCAGCATAAGGGTGTGCAAGAGAGGATTCAAAGTGGCAAGGATCCATGGCACAGCCACCAGAGAGGCACAAAGGCACTGGGTCATGATGGTGGAGTAGCGCAAAGGGTGACAGATGGCTACGTAACGGTCATATGCCATCACCGTGAGAAGGAAATTGTCCATGTTGGCAAACATCATACAGAAATACATCTGAGCCAGGCATCCAGGATAGGAGATGGTCTGAGTCTGTGCCTGGATGTTCAGCAGCATCTTGGGGACCGTAGATGAAGGCAGGCAGAGGTCTACCACAGACAGATTGGCAAGGAGGAAATACATAGGTGTGTGGAGGCGGCGGTCTGAGACAATCGCCAGCAAGAAGAGCAAGTTTCCAAGCAGCCCTGTTAAGTAGAGACACAGGAAAAGTACAAAGAGGAGAGCTTGCCACTCTGGCCGACTTGAAAAGCCCAAGAGGAGAAATTCAGAGGCACTGGTTTGGTTTCCTTGTTCCATTGCTTGGATATCTCTGTGTAAAGACCCAGAGGATGAGATATTTTTGACATAAAAAATTTCCCTTTTTATATTTTATCTATTCACCTAGTCCCGTTTACTAAATATTTTCTCTTTAGGGCATCTGACCATCCTTCCTGGATGCCTGTTGTGTGTTGGAATACATCCGTGAGTCTGACACACTAAGTAACTCTGTGCCAAACTTTGAGATTTTATGAGAAAAAATTTCCAGATACTTATCCAACATCCTATGAACCATCCCGCCTGGAAACTAGTTATACGTTAATACTTAGAATTTATAAGGAGAAGATAAACCATCCTATCTTTTTAAGATTCAAAAGAAAAATGCAGTAACATGCTTGACCGGTGTAAAACATCAACCCTCCTCAAAATAGTTTACATGAAGACTACGGGCAACATAGCAAAATATTTACAAATAAGGTAAAAGTTCTATAACACATGTAGTTATATAATATAAGCTGATAAAACTAAAAGAGGGGCACCTGGGTGCCTCAGTGGGTTGAGCGTCTGACTTCGACTCAGGTCATGATCTTGCGGTTTGTGTGTTCGAGTCCCACGTCTGGCTTCATGCTGACAGCTTGAAGCCTGGAGCCTGCTTCGTATTCTGTGTCTCCCTCTCTCTCTGCCCTTCCCTGGCTTGTGCTCTGTCTCTCTCTGTCTATCAAGAATAAATAACCATTAAAAAAAAACTAAAAGAGAACAGAGAAAAAGTTATGTCAAAATACAGGAAAGGATTAAAAGAGTCCTTTTAATGGTTTTGTGTTATTCTAACCAAAACAAAAAAAAGGGGGGGGGTTGACCTTTATAAGGTATTATGATTACTTTGGGTCTTGCTTGTCTTGGAGTTGTAGAAAACATAACGCAATGGAAGGATTCCTGAAACTTGGATCCGGGTGTAGACCAAAAATACTATCCTGGAAAACAATTAAGAAGGCAAACATTTAGAGGTGCCTGGATGGCTCAGTTGGTTGAGAATCCAACTCCTGATTTTGGCTCAGGTCATGTGTTGTAGCACAGAGACCCACTTAGGATTCTCTCTCTTCCTTTCTCTCTGTCCCTCCACCGCCCATAGGTGAGCACTCTCTCTCGTGTGCTCTCTCTCTCATATAAATAAATTTAAAAAGAATAATACCAACATTCACATACACAGATGAGATAGTTGCACAGACATGGGCGGCTCCCTGGGAGACATAAAAAGGTCTTGGAGAGTGTGGGATCTGGTTGGCTCAGATGGAAGCAGACCCCATCACTTGTAGGCTGGAGTACTTAGCCACCCCAAATCTTAGTTCTCCCCTGTATAATAATAGCACCTCCCTTAGTCTATTGCAACCTATCTCAAGAAACAAGAAAAATCTCAAATACAAAATCTAACAGTACACCTTAAGGAACCAGAAGCAGAGTAGCAAAGAAACCTCAAAGCCAGGAGAAGAAGAGAAGTAATAAAGACTAGAGCAGAAATAAACAATATAGAATAAAAAAACCAGTAGAAGAGATCAATGATTCTAAGAAAAAAAAAATTTTTTTGAAAAAAAAATTGGTAACCCCCCAGCCAGACTTCTCAAAAAGAAAAGAGAGAGAACTCAGCTATATAAATTAACAAATGAAAGAGTAGGGATCACAACCAACACTGCATAAATACAGCAATTATTAGAGAATATTATGAAAAATTATATGCCAAAAAACTGGACAACCTGGAAGAAATAGACAAATTCTTAGATACCCACACACTACCAAAACTCAAACAAGAAGAAATAGAAAATTTGAACAGACCCATTACTAGTGAAGAAATTGAATCAGTTATCAAAAATCTCTCATAAGAGTCCTGGGTCAGATGGCTTCCCAGGGGAATTCTACCAGGCATTTAAAGCAGAATTAATACCTCTTCTTCTCAACGTCTTCCAAAAAATAGAAATGGAAGGACAGCTTCCAGACTCATTCTATAAAGCCAGCATTACCGATTCCCAAGCCAGACAGGGACCCTACAAAAAAGGAGAATTACATGCCAATGTCCCTGGTGAACATGGATGCAAAAATTCTCAACAAAATACTAGCAAATCAAATTCAACAGCGTATTAAAAGTATTGTTCACCATGACGAAGTGGGATTCCTTCCTGGCCTGCAGGGCTGGCTCGATATTCACAAATCAATCCATGTGATACATCACATCAATAAAAGAAAGGATAAGAACCATATGATCCTGTCAATGGATATAGAAAAAGCATTTGACAAAATACAGCATCCTTTCTTGATAAAAAAAGGAAGAAAGTCAGGATAGAAGGAACATACCTAAACATCATAAAAGCCATATATGAAAAGCCCATGGCTAATATCATGCTCGATGGGGGAAAACTGAGAGCTTTTCCCCTGAGATCAGGAACATGACAAGGATGTCCACTCCCACCTATGTTGTTTAACATAATGTTGGATGTCCTAGCCTCAGCAATCAGACAACAAAAGAAATAAAAGGTATCTAAATTGGAAATGAAGAAGTCAACTTTCACTTTTCATAGAGGACATGATACTCTACATGGAAAACCTGAAAGACTCCACCAAAAAGCTGCTAGAAGTGATCCATGAATTCAGCAAAGTTGCAGGATATAAAATCAATGTACAGAAATCAGTTGCATTTCTATACACCAATAATGAGGTAATAGAGAAATCAAGAAATTGATCCCATTTACAATTGCACCAAGAACCTAGGAATAAACCCAACCAAAGGAGTAAAATATCTGTATGCTGAAAACTATAGAAAGTTAGGAAGGAAATTAAAGAAGACAGAAAGATATGGAAAAACATTCTATGCTCATGGATTGGAAGAACAAATATTGTTAAAATGTCAATACTACCCAAAGCAATCTGCATATTCAATGCAATCCCAATCAAAATTGCACCAGCATTCTTCTCAGAGCTAGAACAAACAATCCCCAAATTTATATGGAACCAGAAAAGGCCCCGAATACCCATAGTAATGTTGAAAACGAAAACCAAAGCGGGAGGCATAACAATCCCAGACTTTAGCCTCTACTACAAAGCTTTAATCAACTAGGATAGTATGGTATTAGCACAAAAACAAGCACATAGACCAATGCAATAGAACAGAGAAGCCAGAATTGGATCCACAAATGTATGGCCAACTAATCTGACAAAGCAGAAAACAGTACCCAATGGCAAAAAGACAGTCTTTCTAGCAAATAGTGCTGGGAAAACTGGACAGCAACCTGTAGAAGAATGAATCTGGGCCACTTTCTTACACCATACACAAAGATAAATTCAAAATGGATGAAAGACCCAAATGTGAGACAGGAAACCATCAAAATCCTAGAGGAGAAAATAGGCAAAAACCTCTTTGGACCTCAGGTGCAGCAATTTCTTGTTCGACCTGTCCCTGAAGACAAGTGAATTAAAAGGTAAAAAATGAACTATTGGGACCTCATCAAGACAAAAACTTCTGCAATAGGAAAGAAACAATGAAGAAAACTAAAAGGCAACTGACGGAATGGGAGAAGATAATTGTAAATAACATATCAGGTAAAGAGTTTGTATCCAAAATCTATAAAGAACTTACCAAACTCAACACCTGAAAAACAAGTAATCCAGTGAAGAAATGGGCAGACGACATGAATAGACACTTTTTCAAAGAAGACATCCAGGGGCGCCTGGGTGGCTCAGTTGGCTAAGCGTCCAACTTCAGCTCAGGTCATGATCTCATGCTTCATGGGTTCGAGCCCAGTGTCGGATTCTGTGCTGACAGCTAGCTCAGAGCCTGGAGCTTGTCTTCGGATTCTGTGTCTCGCTCTCTCTCTGACCCTCCCCTGCTCTCACTGTCTCTCTCTCTCAAAATAAGTAAGTAAGTAAGTAAATAAATAAATAAATAAAACATTTAAAAAGTTAAAAATAAAAAGAAGACATCCAGATGATCAACAGACACATGAAAAGGTGCTCAACATCTCTCATCATCAGGGGAATACAAGCCAAACCACATTTAGGTAACACCTCACACCGGTCAGAGTGGCTAAAATTAACAACTCAGGAAACACCAAATGTTGGCGAGGATGTGGAGAGATGGGAACCCTCTTACACCGTTGGTGGGAATGCAAACTGTTGTAGCTTCTCTGGAAAACAGTGTGGAGGTTCCCCCAAAATTAAAAATAGAATTACCCTATGACCTAGCAAAAGCATAAGTAGGAATGTATCCAAAGGATATAGGAGTGCAGATTTATAGGGGCACATGCACAATGTTTTAGCAGCAGTATCAACAACAGTGAAATTATGGAAAGACCCCATATGTCCATCAACTGATGAATGGATCAAGAAGATGTAGTTTATATATACAATGGAATAAATACAATGGAATATATACAATGGCAGTGAGAAAGAATGGAACCCTTCCATTTGCAACAACGTGGATGGAACTGGAGCATATTATGCTAAGTGAAGTAAGTCAGTCAGGGAAAGACAGATATCATATGTTTTCATTCATATTTGGATATTGAGAAACTTAACAGAAGACCGTGGGAGAAGAGAAGGGGGAAAATAGTTTCAAACAGAGAGGGAGGGTGACAAACCATAAGAGACTCTTAAATACAGAGAACATTCTGAGGATTGATGGAGGGTGAGGGTCAAGGGAGAGGGAGAAATGGGTGATGGGCATGGAGGAGGGCACTTGTTGGGATGAGCACTGGGTGTTGTATGTAAGCCAGTTTGACAATAAATTATATTTAAAAAGAAAAAGAAAATAATAGCACCTGCCTTAAAGGCTATTGTGAATATGAAATGAGTTAATGTGTGCAAAACTCAGCAAATAATGGTTACTCAATAAATGCAAGCTGTCAGTGATCAGGCCAGAACTGAGTAGGTCAGGTTTCTTCCTCAGTCTCCACAGTGGCTGTTTTAAACCTTCCCTTCTCGAATGTCCAGTGTGTACTTTCATATCACTTCCCTTATTTTCATAGAGAAAGTAGGACCAGGGTTTGATGGACGTG